GAAATATGCTTTGTGATAATAATAACACAAAACGGGAAAAAATATCAGTACTGTAAGAACGGCATACTGTAAAACATGGTATGGTACGATGGTATGGTATGTGTTATGGTATGGTGGTATGGTACGAATACCACCATACCATGGTATGCATGAATGGTACCATGGTATGGTATGATGGTATGGTACAAATTACTATACCATGGTATAATTTGATGGTATGGTTTTTTGAAGTAGGAAATTTTGAAAACACATTGAAAATATCTGTCAATTATTCTTTGAAATTTTGGGAAGTGCTGCATATCTTATGATTATAATCTAGATAATGTAAAAGTTTTATTGCTTAACCTTCTGTCAATGACCAACTTTTATATTGTTTTGAAATATGACACTTTCAACGGTTGCATATTCTGTCTACATGTATGCCCAAGAAATCACATTTAATAAAAGAACAGAGTTCCAATGTCCCCCGCATTGCACATATTTTATCTATCCAAAGTACAAGGGCAATAATTAAAAAAACACTTTTTTTTTGTTCTATAAAACTTTTTTTTAAAATATCTTAAGAGAAATGAACGCTTCAGAGAAAATGCAATGTGATTACCATTATAATTTTTATTTCCAAGGGGCATAACTCATTAATTTATTTGATCAGAAGACAGGGTCTAGAAATTTGTTACCAAGGCCAAAATTATTGGTTTCTTTCCTTTTTTTTTTCCTTTTGGGAGTTTTCAGTTTGCCTATTAACATGAACACTTTAATAGATTGATAAGTTACTCACAAAACTGAAATATAAGTTATTCAGTTTAGAAGCATATGAGAAAAATTTGGGGGAAACATGGACGAATAGACTGACATACAGACAAGTTGAATGCAATATAGCCTTGACATGTAATAACAGAGAATGCTCTAGCCAATACAATATTAGGATCACTATAACTAACGTTATATGGCGAGACAAAAATGAATTTCGTTTTTTTAAAACAGCATACCTCCGCTATAGCATATTTGATGTTATAGTTCCATAAGCAAAGAATCATTTCTACAGTCCCACATCTTTCCCAAGAAACCACATTTAGAGGTGGAAATTGCATATCTTCTCTCAATTATGAAATGTTAAGGATGAGCTTACCATGCTGATAAGATGACAGATATTATTACTTATCAAACAGATTACCAAAAAAAATAAATGGGGAATGTGTCCATGGGACACAGATGATGCCTCCGCTTGCATATTATATAAAGTTATAAAGCCACATAATTGATGAACGGTAAAAGTGACGCTACCCAAATGTGTACTTGATTTGAGTTTTGTGGTAATAAGTATTGTGTATAAGTCTCATAACATTTGGTTGAGGCTAACTTAAGTTAGAGAACAGAAACGAAAAATTCAGCAGTTTTCCCATTTGAATCAGGCATAACTCTAGAACGGTAAAAGTGACACCACCAAAATTCAAACTTGATCTGTATTTTGTAGTAATAAGCATTGTGTATAAGTTTTATAACATTTGGTTGAGGCAAACTAAAGTGAGAGAACAGAAACCAACTTTGGGACGTACGGACGGACCGACGGATGTACGTACAGATGGACAAGGGTAAAACCTAATGCCCCCTACGCTACGGCGGGGGCATAAAAAAAACTGTTAACCTTTAAGAGTCGTAGAAAATTCACAGACACATGTGTAATGGACACCCTTTAATTTTTTGTGTCTGATTTTGTTTTTACAATATTCTTTGTTGTTGTTTATCCTGAGTTTCAAGATATAATTGGATATGTAGTTATTATTACACATAGTATACAAAATATTCCAGTTTTGCAATTAATTTAAAAAATTGAAAATTAATAAAGTTTAAAAAAAAAAAATCACACATAATAAAAGAAGACACATTCCTTGATTTATATTGTGTATTAACTATTCCTTCATGCAACAATTTCCACATATAAAAACATGTGGTATCTATCAACTAACATTGTATTATATGAGTGACAGTTTGATTTGAAAGTATGGTGTTTTCTAATTGATACAGGAGATGCATTCACTTTTTATTTACATTTTTTAAATGTGATTTCTTGGGCATGCATGTAGACAGAATATGCAACCGTTGAAAGTGTCATATTTCAAAACAATATAAAAGTTGGTCATTGACAGAAGGTTAAGCAATAAAACTTTAACTACATTATTCTAATCATAAGATATACAGTACTTCCCAAAATTTCAAAGAATAATTGACAGAAATTTTGTGTCAGGCCGGGATATACTATATATCTTATCTTATCTTTATGGTTATCTGAGATGTTTAAATTGAGTTTTCTCTTGTTTTCTGTTCGCAACTTTATGTAAGTAAAAGTCTATTTGTTTTATCTACATCCACTTTCTTTTTTTAGTAATATTTTCTTTTCAAAAATAAACCAGATACATAATGTCAGCAAATTAAAAAAATCATGTTTCAAATTACCTTAATTAACTTTTCAAAATTTCCTACTTCAAAAAACCATACCATCAAATTATTCCATGGTATAGTTATTTGTACCATACCATCATACCATACCATGGTACCATTCATGCATACCATGGTATGGTGGTATTCGTACCATACCACCATACCATAACACATACCATACCATCGTACCATACCATGTTTTACAGTATGCCTGTAAGAACACGTATAGTGAACATATTTGTTTGCAATTATGTATACCTTTCTGCTTTTGTATAAATGATAGTAGGCCAAACAGTCAAGCCTCATACAATGTTCAATAGGACGGATACCATGACTACGTTTACGACGGTGAGATGAGTTTAAAACATACATAACATTTACCAGGCTATAGTTAGAATACATCCCTGTTTTGCATTAGAAATCACTATCAGAGTCAATTAGAGCTGCCCGAGTATTGGAAGCATGCAATTTAACTACAGAGAGGTGTTGATAGGTTTGGTGTGTTACTGTTATGGCAGTTTTTCCTACTCGATGATGTCAACTCACTTAAAGTTATGAATAATTAAATTGATTGAAATGCTGAAATACAATTCTTCCCTGTGTTTCGTCAACTGAAGTCTTGTTAGGTTTTGTCTTTCTTTGAGCACCAGCGTTTTCTCTTGGTTTCCCGTGACGTCTTTGTAGTGAATGTATGTTTATATTCAATCTTACAGTAAACAATATTTTATAGCCATGTTAATGGGCTAATTGTTTGCTTTCTTTTCAATTCGTCAATAGATAACTGCTTAGGTGCCCCATTGTAGTGTTCCAACCTTAAGTTTATTACTTATTGTAATCAATGCTAAAAAGTAGCCAGATATCTTTGGCATTATTGAAACACATAATAACCGATTTTGCGAACGTAACAGTTACACAATTCATTTGGTTATTTAGTGTAGAAAATGTTGAGTTACTTAAAATAATATGTAATTTTATATACAAACATCTTCCTTAGTGAAGATTAGTTAAAGGAAATCTATGTGTGTATATACATTTGATTGGACATAGAAAATTATATTCATCTGAATATCACAAACATACTAGCCGATTAAAAAAAAAAATAATTGTTAAGATATATTATTTATTCAAATGTTCTCTTATATCCTTGAGGCATCGTCCCCTGGTATCAACTGCATTCAAGTTACCTATGATGCTTCCTTGTTTGCTTTTGATACAGGTAGGAAAGAGACATTTACACACATTTTACATGCCTATGGCCCATAAGGTATCGCCCCCTGGTGTCAGCTGCCTTTAGGAAACCATAATGCTTTCCTATTTGCTGCTGACACAGGATGAGTCATGGACATGTTTAATTTCTACTTTCTTTTTGGCTAATTATTATATATTTAATTGATCCAACTTTTTGTGTACTATACATATGTGGATATCTATTTTTCTTTTTTTCTTTTTGGGCTGCTTGTTTGTTATCTATATCAACCACACTTGCAATAAAATGCATTAGTATTAAAAAAAACAACATACTATAGATTCTTTATCTACGTATTCTTTAAGAACTTAAATAGTTCTCGTTTAACTTTTTTTTTTTTTTTTTATCTCATTGTTTGTATTGTATTATGAAAAAAATTATTGATGTTGTAATGTTTATGCCCTTTGGGGCCCATAATTGGAAATAAAATATCTTAATTGGAAATAAAATATCTTATCTTATCTTATCATTTGATTATTAGCGATGAAAGAAAGACAACTCAAATGTCTTATAAACTCAGTCAGTAGTCGTTACAAATACAAAATACTCGGTACCCATACATAATTAAAGGTTAATCCGCTTCTCCGTGCACCTTATTGACCATATCAAGTGATGTTGTCTTGGTCCTAATTCAGTTCATCGAACAGGTCAGCAGAGTTTTATCCATAAGAATATACTATTTAATTGTTAACATAAAAGGGATAGAATATTTGGAGAAAAATATTTCTTTTCATTTTCAATTTATAATCTTTTATATACTTAGATATCAACACTAGTCTGAATAATCATGTCTGACGCCTTGTGATGACATTATGTTATCAAATTGTTGTCTTATTTAAAAAAATAGTTTTATTCAATCATGACATACTGATTCATGGAAATGTCTTCTATCCCACCATGGAGGGGACCATTAAAAGTTGATACCTATCTAAAGGCATCTCATGGGCTAATATAAAATTGTAGATTAATATTACTAAGTTCTTTTCTATTGATCCTTGCGTAGAAATATATGAATATATTTTAAACTTCAGGCGATGATTTGATATTCACAAAAGACGGGTTATTTGAGGTTACGACTGGACATTGGGACATTCAGTCATAATTTTTCTACTTTGAAGATTTTTGGGTTTTAAACCCCGGTATTCTCCTTTTATTGTTTTCCAATGAACACAGAAATGGGGGTAGATTTTTGCTCAAAGGTATAGTCAATTTTTTTTATGTACAGTTTAAATGCTAGGCAATTTTTTCGAAGCAGACATCTACCTGTAATCCTATAAATTGTAAACTATATTTAAATGACCTTTCAAAGGTTACACAACGCATCACGGAAGTAAAATATGTAAGCTTATTTTGGCTACACAGAATAGCTCTTTTTAACTTGGATTGGTAAGTGATAGTGTATTGTCCATGTATCTCCAAGTAAGTCCAAATGAAAAAGGTTATGAAACTAGTCGAGTCCATAAAACCATTACATGTAGTTTGATGGTAATAGGTCTACAGGTCGTTGGTGAAAAGGCTCCATAGTCCGATGTCTAAGTACTGCAAAATAAAACTTTTAAGAACCACTCATGTGATGATTTGATCTCAATTTTCGAAAAAGTAAGACATCTCGTCCCTTTGAACTCCCAGCAACTGCAGGTAAAAAGTTGGTCCCAATATTTAGAGGAAAAGGCAATTATTTTTATGCATGATTGTTTTTGATCCCTTGCTATCAACCTGTCTGGCTTTACATTCAAGGAAGAATTCCTTAATACCATTTGATGATCACAAGAATCAGCAAATAAAGACTCAATCCGAAAGATCGTGATTATACTGGAAAAGAAAACCAATCAGGAGAACGTCTATAGATATAAGAAGATGTGGTATGAGTGCCAATGAGACAACTCTCCATCCAAGTCAAAATTTATAAAAGTAAACCATTATAGGTCAAAGTACGGTCTTCAACACGGAGCATTGGCTCACACCGAACAGTAAGCCATAAAGGGCCCCAAAAATTACTAGTGTAAAAACCATTCAAACGGGAAAACCAACGGTCTAATCTATATAAAAAACGAGAAACGAGAAATACTTATGAACCACATCAACAAACGACAACTACTGAACATCAGATTCCTGACTTAGTGTAACATCACAACATAGAAAGACACACTATAAAATATCAACTGAAATAGCTTAACTCAATCAAAGGACATATTAACACCAGTGAACATACACTGAACAAATAAATTTGACCTATGATACACTTTATTTATAACAAGTCATATTGCAAATAAACATCCATATGTTCCACTTGTCATTTACAACTATTCCGTTCGTCATAGCTTCATCGATTGTGACAACACAGAATGCGACTTATCACAAAATTTGTACTACCCATAAACAAGGCAACAGAAGCGACCAGTGAAACAGGAACTATCTGCTCAACTTTCCGAAGTACCTGCATTTGAGGTCAGCCACAGAGTTTTTTGTTGCTGATATTACTCACCTTTTCTATGTATTGTGGACTGATGTTGGTCTTTTCGTCGTTTTTTGTACGTTTTTCTTCGATTTTTGTTTGACTCCTTGGTATCTTATCGCAATAAACCCATAGTCATTGCCTTTTATAAGAAAAAAGACAGCCTTTTATAGCCGACTATGTGGCATGTGTTTTGCTCATTGTTGAAGCCCGTACGGTGACCTATAATTGTTAACTTCTATGTCATTTGGTCTCTGGTGGAGAGTTGTCTCATTGGCACATACCACATCTTCTTATTTTTATACGTTGTCTCCTTTCACTATTATGCAAAGTATATACTGGTATAAGTCTGGTTCCAAAATGAGTCACCGTATTGGGTATATAAATAATACTGACCTCTACGGGTGATTCAAGGCATAGATGCATAGATCTGTCTTGAACGGGGGTATATGTCTTTTAAACGGTGCACGATAATTCAATTCGACTAGATGTGTGCCATACTATTTCATCTATAATAAAATTGCAACTTAGATATAAATCACATATAAAAAAAAAATATTTGAAGTAGATCTTTTGGGACATATTGGTGTATTTGAACACAATTCCGTAAATAGATAACATTTTACTCCATACTATCTTGAAATATCCCTAGTTAAACTAAAGCAAGACTAAACAAAATGAAAACAACACGTTTAATAATTGCATGCGTCCGAAGCGCTTTTCTGGATTTACCTTCATCAGGAACGCTCAAAGCCAAACATTTGAAATCCGAGGGATGTATAAGAACCGAAACGGTTGAAGAGCGATATGACAAAAATACCTAAAACAAATAGCCAAATCCATCTAAGGTCAACTTTGCCTGAGGGAGTTGAAACCTTAGTTTCATTATAATTTCAAAATTTATAAACGGACAATTTTAGAAAAGTTTGTTATAAATCATGTCAGTACCGTCAGTACCAAAGTACTGACTAATTTATAATCCACTGCCATGATCAGGTTATGAATATTTGAAAGCGTTGCAATGATCTAAATCTGATTAGTAACGGCAAAAGAAAAAAAATGTATAAAAATAACGCGGAACTGCATTCAACCTTTCAAATTATAAATGGCGAACCAGAGCATAGCTACCCTTGCATGTGTCAGTAACTTGTTTGCGACAACACACTCCTCAATCCTTTGAATCAAGATGGCGGCACAGTGTTGAGAAATTTCAATTCCCAATTACCGCCCTTAGATCTTATACGTTTTTGAAAAGAAAACTTTATGATAATTTACCAGGACTTCTTGCAGTTCTCAAGATGATATTAAGTTGTTCAGATTAAACGAAAAGTTCCGTATATATCATTTGTAAAAATTGTTCTGGTTATGTCATTTTTGGCTCATCACGGCCATTGGAGTTCGTGAATGCTTTCTTTTCCGTTTCAGCGGTTATGTTTTTTAAATTTGTGGTAAAATATCTAATGACTCCCATTTTTCTATATACAGACTGTGTTCATTGAAATCCACTATAAACATAGGCAAACCGAACTATAGTTGGGAATGTAAAAGCAAATATTACAATGCCGATGCTTTCTAAGAACCCAAGTTGAAGGATAGTTTTAAACCGTTACTTATATTTTTTTTGACAAATCGTCATATAAATTGTGTCCTATTAGCACCACAAATTACGTGTTTGTTGTCCTATGGAAGACCATGAGCAAAATGCAAAAGAAAATCTGATGTGTAACAAATTTATCAAATTGAATTTGTATATCTTTAAGCTGTAAAACTGTGCCTTTCTTTTTTAAACTTGTTTTCTTCTATCTTTCCAGGAATATATCATTATAGACGACAAATATAACGGAGACACGAAAAGTAATTTCTTAAACTTAGTAAAAAAGACAAGACATGAACAGTAACGTAATTGCACACAGAATAATGGAATGGTTGTGGGAATGATGATCAATATTTGTTTGAGTGTTTGTTACTATTACCTGAAGATTCCTTTTAAGGTAAGTTGATAGTTTTAAGATGTCTTAAGAATGAAGTAAAAGTTAAACGGAACATAATATTTAGGTTTGAACGACAAAAACAAAAAACAAAACAAAACAAAAACAACCATATAGATTAAAACAAAGTAAGTTACACAAAAAATTCACAGGCAAATTCCAGCATATCAACATTACAAAAACATAAAATGAATTAAGTAATGATAATAAAAATCCATTACAGGGAACATAAAAAATAATGAAAAACATTTTTATTAGATTTCGTCATTCTTGAAAAATAAAGGAAATCATAGTAAAATGTGATAAGGTTGATAAATTTCTTTGACTAATATAAGTATTGATGATAATACGTATTAAGTAATGGTAGTCGTTTCTTCAAAATTTTTACGGACGCCGTCATGATTTGTTTGATCGATATGGAATATCTTTATCACGGCTGACCATGGATATGTTATACCTGTCGTAGCCACAATCCCGTCTTCTTTTCATTGATATTTATAGATTATGTAGCCGAGAAACATTCTCAAATTTGAAAGACCATTGATAAAATTGAGAATGGAAATGGGGAATGTGTCAAAAAGACAACAACCCGACTATAGAGCAGACAACAGCCATAGGCCACCAATGGGTCTTCAATGCAGCGAGAAACTCCCGCACCCGAAGGCGTCCTACAGCTGGCCCCTAAACAAATATGTATACTAGTTCAGTGATAATGGACGTCATACTAAACACCAAATTATACACAGGAAACTAAAATTAAAAATGATACAAGACTAACAAAGGCCAGAGGATCCTGACTTGGGACAGGCGCAAAAATGCGGCGGGGTTAAACATGTTTTTTGAGATCTAAACCCTCCCCCTATACCTCTAGCCAATGTAGAAAAAAACAAACGCACAACAGTACGTACAGTAAAACTCAGTATAAGAGAAGTCCGAGTCCGATATCAGAAAAGGAAACAAAAGAAAATAAACAAAATGACAATAATACATAAATAACAACAGACTACTAGCAGTTACTGACATGCCAGCTCCAGACCTCAATTAAACTGATTAAAAGATTAGGTCCTCATCATATGAATATCAGGCGCAATCCCTCCTGTTAGAGGTTTAGTATTATACCGTCATAAAATATATGAGAAGAACATAACCCGTGTCATGCCAACAACTGGTTTTAGAATAAATGTGTTTAATTCCGATGCAAAGACTCTATAAGTGAATTAATATTAAAGCCAAAATATGCAATCTTTAATGACCTGACAACAGTATCGTAACTATATCCCTTCTTAATAAGTCTGTTTAAAGGTTTTGTTAGCTTTTGAGGTGAATACTGACATTTTTGTGCTTTGTAAAGAATATTACCATAAAAGATTGGATGTGAAATACCCGAACGTATAAGATATCTGCATGTTGAGTTATATTTACGAATGATGTCCTTATACCGATGATAAAATTTAGTAAATGTTTTGACTAGTTTATGATATCGAAAACCCTGGTGTAATAATTTTTCAGTAATACATAAATTTCTCTCGCTAAAATCTAATACGTTGTTACATACACGAGCGAATCGTACAAGTTGAGATATATAAACACCATAAGATGGTGACAAGGGAACGTCACCATCTAAAAATGGATAATTAACGATAGGAAATGAAAAAACATCTCTTTTATCATAAATTTTTGTATTAAGCTTCCCGTTAATGATATAGATATCAAGATCGAGGAAAGGACAGTGGTCATTGTTAGTATTAGCTTTATTTAAAGTAAGTTCAACAGGACAAATTTCTTTAGTATACATACTGAAGTCGTCATCATTGAGAGCCAATATATCATCCAATAATAATAATCTGATGATCGCTATTTTGCCTGTGACGTCGTTGATGTTTAAATTGTCAACAGCACGAGTGCCTTTCCAAAGTTCGATTTTCAATCGAATTATTATTTTTCGTCGCCAATTCGACGGACGACTATAGTGAATCAGAAACTGCTTCACATTCCAGAGATTCAAATTCACCACCGGTTTATGATGGGGGTTCGTGTTGCTCGACTTTTATTATCTCTATTGGCAATGGTGTTGTCTATGTGTGTATTTATGGGTTTATATTGCCACGTCAGTATCTGCTTCCCTTTGCCTTTCTGCTTTATTTTGCAAATAAACTTTTGTAAAATGATTACGATTGGAAAATAAAAATAACCTTGATTATAGTCTAGTGGCCTGGCAGTATTACAGGCGTATTGAGGATGAAGTAATAAAAAAATTGAGTTTTCAAAGCTCACTAAAACATTACTTTTGATATTTTAATCTGTCGATGGTCATTTATTTACGTTGAATTACTGGTTGAACAAACATCATCCACTGTCTGTCATCCACCGAATAGTATAGTTCTTATGAACGGAACCCATTAAACACGTAAGGTTAATAGGCATATGTCACTTAGATTTTAGGCTTCTCTGCTTAGACGACTTTGGTCTTTTTGGTATTATTATAACAGGTAAAGTTTATCTTAAAACAGTTAATACAGACAAACACGTGAAAGAAGCAACATCAAAATATGATATTATAATGATATAAAGATTTATACATGTATACATATATATTTTTCATTGGTATTTAGATAATGGTTTGGATATTTGAAAAGTTTATTTCATTGCTTCAATATATTCGTGACTTATGGTTTTCGTAAGTATAATATACATAACATTGTGATAATATATTTAGACATTGTGGATTTTTTGTATTTCGTTAGATGATTATTTTCATGGATTTGGTGGGTAAAAGCTAGCCTCGAATTTAAATATGTAATAGCATAATTATTTTCTAGAGGTTTGATTAGCAACACAAGATCATCAAATGAATCAATAGGAATGAAATTGTCAATCGACTCCTTACATCATTTTGTACCTCAAAATCACAACTTGGTACAGCCCAAATGATTATCAATATAGGTTTTTGCACACATAATTTCCATTCAACGCACTTATTCTTACTGCATTGTATCATATTTTTTGTTGCGAAAAATAACAGGTAACCGACAGAGGCTCCTTGAAGCCTCTAGTTTTATTTACATGTCTCTCATAATTCTTAATATGCTTTTATATGTTTTAGTATTTAAGCTAATGATATTTTACTGTTAGTTTTGATATACGCTATGTTTTATATATGTATAAACTATTTTAATGTTTCATGTTAAACGCTATGTTTTAAATGTGTATTTAAATGTTTTATGTTATACAAGTGGTGAGACTTAATAATAAGACATTGAATCTAAATCTGTCAATGATCAGATTTTAAAGCTTCTTTGAAAATGTCCTTGTATAAAAGACATGATTAGTACCAGTATTTGTAAATATGACATAATATTTATAATAACATCAAAGGTTATGGATAACTTCACCAGTTTTACTCACAGTTAATTGATAATCAATTAACTCTTCTATATTTTTTATTAACCTCTAATACATATGTAGAGGTTCTTAATGATCTTGAAACAATGCTATTTAGTCTGTGCTTGAAGCTAACTTTAATTTGTGATAAGGTATGATATATTTATAAGTGCAGTTCATTGTTGAAGAACTTACTTTAACTTTCAAGATGAAAAACAGCAAAGAAGGCACTGATATTTTGATACATTAGATTATTTATTTAAGCATTTCATGAGAGTTATCCTATTTCTTTCTAGTCTCTAAAGTCTCGAAGAAAAACTAAATCTTTAATATATCGATTGTTTGTTGGTTTAAAACACCAATATCAGAGCTCTTTGCTATATTATGACGGCTAATTTTGTATTGCTAGAGGAAGCCAGAGTACCCGGACAAAAACACCGACCTTATAAGGAAAATTGGCAACCCTTGGTAACTAACATCGGAGTCGATTCGTTACACACCTCGTCACCAATCACAACCTCAGAGTTTACAGTAGCATTAACGGTACCAATTTTACTGCATCTGATGCGCATTTCGACAGTTAATGTCTCTGCAGTGATGTTCGAAGCCAAAATATTTGAAAATCAAAAAATTAATACAAACGTTCAAGACCTGATTAAATAAAAAAATACCTAAAGTATAGCCAAAGCGGGACAAGGAATTACAGCTATGTATGAGGAAGATGCATGCCTTAATTTTAAATTAGTTAAAAAATGTATTAAACAGCAAATTTCAATAAAGTGATATCCATATTTTCATGCCAGTAACGAAGTCCTGGCTACTAGGCTGCTAATATCTTCTAAGACTAACAGTCCACCAGCAGAAGTATTGACCCAGTGGAAGTTATTATATTAATGGAACAAATTTTATTGCCCCAGATGCGGATTTCGACAATTAATGTCCCGAAGCCATGGTACATGACATTCAAAAACTTGATAAAAACGTTTAAGAGCTGATATAACTGAAAAGGACCAAAAGTATAAATAAAACGGGACAAGGAATCAGAGGTATTCGTATTTTCATGCCAGTACTGAAGTACAGGATAGTGATCACTGTAGATGAACTACTTAAACTACTCAGCCACCGAGGCCATCTGAATATATTGTAAGTGAAAAAGTTCTGCCTTTAAGCAACAAGCAATGTAAGCAATGTCTGGAGTAGAGAGTGTTTTCATTGGTGGTAATCCAATAACAATTACGTAAAATTTATAAATAAATAAATGAAAATTTCAATTCCGGGAATACAAGAGATTTAATGGAGTTAAATACCCAAGTTTAATTGAAGTACACGCTACAATTTCTGCAGTTATGCACAATTACATTACCATTACCGCCATAATTCTTATTAGATCTTATAATGGTGATATTTTGTAACAGTTTGTATAATATGATCTTATAATTCTGTAAATGCAAAGATTCTCAATCGACTGAGTTTCAAAACAAACTTTATTTACAGGTTGTAGGTATTCCTATGGACACCAATTGCACTTCTCTTTTATAACAGACTTGCTCCTGTGTTGTTATAAATCACAGTTCATAATAAAACCCAGTAAAGCCTCATACCGTTATTTTGTTTGGTTTTTAACATTTTTTCAAGTTAGGGCCTTATATACCTTACTATGCGGTATGGGTTTTGATTATTGTTGAAGGTCGTACGGTGGCCTATAGTTAAGATCCATGTCATTCTGTCTCATTGGCAATAATATCCCTTTTATACTGTTGCCTCAAATACATACCCATACAGATGTGAATGCAGTCATAGGACTTTAAATATTTCAATCCTTTATGGGTTGATTTAAAATACATATATAAGTAAGCAATGAATGTGGTTGTTGAATTTGATATATGCTTTTTGTGCTTCTTTGTTAAATGTTTGTTTGTTTTGAGATTGTGACACAGGGATGACTGCTGTACCCATATTTTGACAATGTTACCTATTATGTCTGTTTTGTTCACGCATCGTTGTAAATATAATGGAATTTGATGCGACTGTCATACAAGTGAGAAGTTTAGCGCTATAAAACCAGGTTCAATTCACCATTTTCAACATTTGAAAATGCCTGTACCAAGTCAGGAATATGACAGTTGTTGTCCATTCGTTTGATGTGTTTTATCATTTGATTTTGCCATTTGATTAGGGACTTTCCGTTTTGAATTTTCCTCGGAGTTCAGTATTTTTGTGATTTTACTTTTTTCTGTTTCTCGTTGAAGATCGTACAGTGAACTTTATAGTTGTTTACCAATTCTTGTTGTTTTGCTTTTTTAAAGATGGTTGTCTCACTGGCAAATCCGTATACCATCTCCTTATTTTATACAGAAAGCTAAGCTATTTTCTAAGCTCATTATATATAATTCACTATCAAGCAAATTGTGTAATAATGTACATCAAAACTTCAAATCATGGATGTCTGAACAAGGAAATAATACTGATAAAATGCTTATAATAATTCATACAAATCAGCAAAAAAATAATAGTAACGAGTTTTATATTTCGTTGCAACATTTAATCATCAATCGATATAAGTTTCATAGATTTCTGTTATTTGAATTTCCTCACATCAGATGCTTTTCTTAAAACCTTACTTGTGTTTATTTTGTTTTTAATAAATAAGTTCTGATTCCAAAGTTTTTTGGTTTTTCTCTCCCTTTTTAACAAAAATCAGTATTTTACAGGTTACTAAAATGTTCAATTATTCGAAACACAAAGGGTTTTCTACAACCAGACATAGATTGTCTTAGCCATATTTAGCACAACTTTTCTGAATGTTTGGTTTTCAATGCCCTTCAACTTCGTATTTGATTCAGCCTTCTAACTGTTTTGAGCGGCACTGATAAGTCTTATGTAGACGAAACGCCCATCTTGGCTTACCACATTATAAACATGGTATTTTTTATGAGTTTGGACAAATCAAATTCAAATTCAAATTCATATTTTGATTCCTTAATTAGTTTGCAAGGATGAACAAATTATTGCCAATGGCATAATAATCAAGCGGTGCATTACATTTGCGCGCATTTATTTTACAGGTACGCGCAGGTAAATACAGGTAAATGCAGCTAGATTTGGCAGACTAATTTCATTGGCCTAGCAGTTTTTCTAGAATCGGACTCATGTTCAAAATTAAGAATTTATAGTCATTTTTATTATGAATGTTAATAATTTATAGTCCTATTTATTTTGCATTATCTTGATTTTTACCTGTGTTACCTGTAAAATGAAAGCGCACAAATTTAATCAAAAGCTGCGCGCAATCGTAAAATATTTTAATCCCAAAATGCGCGCAAATGTAATGCGCTCTAATCAAGGGACATTGTTGTACTTGTTTAATTAGTAAAGTGGAAGACTATATCCCAATGCTTAGATTACCGTTAATGTCAAAATAACAAATTTATTGACTGAATGTAAATAAAATGGTATTTTGATTTTCATCTTCAGATTTTGTTTAAAACGGGAAGACATAAATTAATGAATGAACTCATCATAGAAACAAGGCTAAAACTTATGTGCGCCAGACGCGCGTTTCGTCTTCAAAGGACTCATCAGTGATGCTCGAATAAAAAAAGTTAAAACGATCAAATAATGGTCGAAGTTGAACAGCATTGAGGACCCAAAATTCCGAAACGTTTTGCAGCTTAGGTAATCGATTCCTTGGGTAGAAAATCCTTTGTATTTAGAAAATATCAAAATTTGTAAACAGTTGATTTATGATTATGACCATATCAATGATAATTCATGTTAACACAGAAGTCGTCAACGCAGAAGTGAACAAAAAATGAATATCATTATATACTAGTATGTTAAAAAAAAAAAAAAATAAAAAACCTTAAAAAGTGTTATAAGAAGAAAAAAAAAAATGTGTGAGTGCATCAGTGAAACAAGAAATGTTTAAAACTTCCAAGTAAATACTCCGATGAAATTGAAAGTAATTGAAAAGTAATTCATGATTATATGCCAAAAAGGCATTGTAATTCATTACATTTATTTTAAATTACTTTAATGGTTTTTTATTAAGTAAATTTAATTGCATTTTTTAATTATCCCAGGTCTAACATACGGTGAGCAACACCCCCTATAAATTTGTGTTTTCTTACAGACACCCCTTCTCCCTTTGTCTTGAAAGTTCTTGAGTTGTATACTTGAGATTACAGAACTTTAGATTGAAGCATGAAACTAATATAGATATATACAAATATGTAACATTTTTACTATATTATAATTGTATTACTTATGGTTTCACTATTTCATTACAGACTAACT